CGCACTGGCGGCCCCGCGCCCCCCCGCCCGCGCCCCCCGCAGCGCCGGCCCCGCCCCGCGCCCCCCGCCCCGCCCGCGCCCCGCGGGCACGGACCGGCCTGAGCGCGACCCCCGCCCACAGCCCGGGGATGGGGACACGGACCCGCCCGGAGCGACCCCCCCCCCACAGCCCGGGGATGGGGACACGGACCCGCCCGGAGCGACCCCCGCCCACAGCCCGGGGATGGGGACACGGACCCACCGGGGCCAGCCCCCGTTCCGCTCGGCACAGCGCCCACAGCCCCGCTCCGGGACAGGGTCTGAAGGGCGAGCCACACACAAAAAACCCTCAAAGCCACCTCGTGAAAAGGGGGGGAAATCTGCTCTGGAGGAGCCGGAGTGAAGACAAAGCGATGAAAAGTTTTTCAGGAAAAAAGTATACACCAAGCAGGGCCAAGCGACCCAGGGTGGAAGCCCTGGGAGGAGAGTTGGGAAGGGATCAGCATCCAACTTCAGAGCAGCGGTGTCCATGGGAGCGCGGCTGGATCCCGCTGGGATCATTGCAATGAGCTCAGCTCCAGCCACTGCTCTGGGCTGACATCAAACTCGGTCTGTGTGAACTGCCAGTGCTTCCTCCAGTCCACAGCTGGTGGTAGATTAAGTTAGAATCCTGGCATGTCCTGAGTGGGAAGGGACCCACAGGGATCATCCAGTCCAACTCCTGGCCCTGCCCAGCACACCCCAACAATCCCCCCCTGTCCCTCAGAGCGCTGTCCAAACCCCCCAGGACAGGGTGGCCCTTTGGGCTGCCAGGACACTCTGCTTACTCAGATCCAATTTGCCACCAGGACCCCCAGGGCCCTTCCCCTGGTGCTGCTCTCCAGCCTCTCATTCCCCAGTCTGTACCTGCATCCAGGGCTGCCCATCCCAGGGGCAGGATCTGGCACTTACCCTTGTTAAACTTCACACATTGGCTTATTACTTATTATCTTTTTTACTTTTTATATCAGGGCTCACTCATTTATTTCAAACTCCCTTATTTGGAAAGCAGCAGGAGTGGATGGCTGTGAGGCACGTGTTGCAGATGAGAGGGAACCCCAAGACCCCCACAATGGGGTTCAAGTTGTCCAGACTCAGGGGTAGAAACCAAAAATAACTTCCAAGAGCTGGGTTACATTTGCTTGGTTCAGAAAGACTTAAGACCCACAAGGGTGGAGGTATTGTCTTTTATTTGATTAGTGCTGAGTTTCCCATTGCCCTCGAGGTATTCCAGCTCCCCTGGGACTGGTTTGGGGCTTGGTGGTTTAACATTCTCTCCCCTGGGCTCACACTTAGGAAACTCCCTCTTCTATTGGTGTTATTTCCTGCAATCTTGAACAAACAGATCAGAAAAGTTCAGTTCCCAGTATTGATCAAACCTACACTGTTTTCTGTAATGCATAAATCCTCTTCTTTTTTTTTTTGGAAAACCACCCCAAGACCTCACAAGCCAGCCCAACTCATACTGTTCTAACCAAAAACTTGCAGTGAAATCCAGCTTCTTGATTGAAAATGAAGTATAATAGTGAGTGTAGGAGGGAAACTGAGGCACCTGAAACCCCCTTCAGGGGCATTCTTAAGAAGGAACTGGCAGAGCTGGGAGCAGATGGGGCTGGGGGTGCAGATGGGGAAGGGGATCCCTGAAATGTCCTCTGGGCCTCGAGCTTGGGGTATCAGGAGTTAGAAAATCAGTTTTACTGGCAGTAGGACTGTGTGTGGTTAGAGCCTGGTGCTAACATCAAGGGTGTGGGTTTGATCCCTGTAGGAGCTGGACCAAATGATCCCTGTGGGCCCCTTCCAATTCAGAATATTCTGTGACAGGCTTTGTGAAATGTTTGGGTAGAAAGGAACTCTTGAGCCCAAGGGAAAATATTCCAGCATTGCTTTGGGAACACTGCCAAGGTACAGCAGATGAGGTATTTGTAGGTATTGCCACCAGCTGAAAGTGGATTCAGCTGCCAGAGAGCGTCCATGTTGCTCCAGGATGAGCAGATAACCTAAAAAAATCACCAAAATCTGTTGTTGTCAGTCATGGAAGGAGCGACAGGGCATCCTGACAGAAAAACTCTTTATTTAGCCCTGGTTTGAAGCTCCTGACTCTGCAGTCAAATATCCCAGAGCCAACCAAGGAGCTTTTTCCAGAGCAGGACTGGCCACAGGGTTCCCAATCTACGAGTCTGGTCACCTCTGTGCCCTCTCCCAGGTCTGGACAGAGAAGTTTTTCCTCCTTTCCCCCCCTCTGTCAGGTCATTGTGTTTTAATTTTGCTCCTCTAAGGCATGTGGCATTCAGTAGCTCACTATGGAAATAATTAACTGTTAGAAAAGAGGCAATGTTGGGATATTAAGTATTACAAGGACCACCCAAGCCACTTGAACAGTAATTAGAGTTTTAACAGAAACTTGCCCAGGAATGCAGAAGGTATTTGCAACAGAACATTTCCTGCTCTTGTGAAAGGTGAAATGCAGCAATTCAATCAGTTATACACTAATCCTAGGGTTAATTAGCAATAAAGCCATCACTGGAACTGCTGCAGGAAACGCAAAGAGCTGAACTATCCCCAAACAAATGCAAGGTCTGAACGCTCCTTGCAGTGCTGCCTGTGCAAAGATTGGATATTTCGAGTAAGTTTTCCTCCTTTCAGTATCTCCTGCTGGGCACAGAGCTATCACCAGTGGCTGACACCTTGGGGAGCCCCGGGGGACGGGAGCCACACCCAGCCCCGCAGCTCCAAGGCCTCCCAGAGAACCCTGAGCTGTGGGAACACGCTCGCCCGCCCCTGGAAACGAGCCAAACCCCGGGAATTTCTGAGGCAGCACATTATGCCCCCCAAGTCCAGGTGAGTTACACAGGGAAGAGCGAGCAGGCACTCAGCTGTCCGATCTGAGAGTGCAGTCCTGCTGCCATGGGAGCACAGCCTGACACAATGTCCAGTTTCCAGGCGGAATTTGGAGAGAAATGGGTCAAAACCAACACCCCTACACACAAGGCTGCTGTTGTCAAGCCTCCACTCCCAGCATCTCCAGGTCAGGGTGAGGCTTTGTCCCCCTGGGAGTCAGTCAGGAGCACCACTGGAGCAGGGAGTGGGACAGAGTGAGGGAACAGCACTGTTATCCCAACATTCCAAAAGCTGCAGTTCCTTCAGGCCTCCAGGGAAGCTGCCCCAAGGCTGCCAGAGCTCAAGGGGTGCTTGGACAAGGCTCCCAGGCACAGGGTGGGACTGCTGGGGTGTCCTGGGCAGGGCCAGGAATTGGAGTGGATGATCTTTGTGGGAACCTTCCAACTCAGGACACACCAGAATTTTGTGATTCTATCCTGTTAAGAGCAGGGAAGCAAAGGGAATTCTGCACGAGAAAATGATATTCCTCACCCCCCATTAATTAACAGTGATCCTGCTGAAGCAACACTAAACAACTATCCTGTTAAATAAGTGGCTCAAGTGCCGATGTTCGGCAGATTTTCCAACAGTTTTCCATAAAAACACCCCTCAGAAGCTCCCAGCCCTGAGGGTGACACATGGGCAGCACAGCTACGACTGGGATTTCCCCTTAAAGATATGCAAGCCTTGCATTACAACCAAAAATTACAACAAGGTGAAACTTGGTACTGAATAGAGAGAAAACAGTGACTCTGTTCTGACACAGAGAAAAAGTTTGTTTGCAAATTCTGGTCTTTGTGAAAAGGGATGAACTTTTCCCCTCTGAGTCTGAGTCATCTGCTGTGGCTGAGTGGCAGAGACCAGAGCACGAATAATCCTTGTTCTTCCTTTTTCTAACAGCTAAAACCTTTGTCACCTAAAGGGCTGTGACAGGGGGTCGTTTCATCACCAATTTATGCTGACAAATTAACAGACCTATGAAATAAGGATACAGATTCGTTTTCTACTCAAACCACACATTCAGGAGGACCTGAGCAGCTCTCTGAAGCCCTGGTTTTCACCCTGGTACACAGAAAGGCTCCCAGGGTTTGGGGAGTGCCTTCCTCGAGCCCCCAGATTAAGCCAGGAAAGCTAAAAAAAAAAAAAAAAACCAGTGTGCGCCCAATCAGACAGTTTAAACGGCCCGTGAATCGATGATAAAACCCCCAAACCTTTCTGGTAAATTCAATGCCAGGAATCTGCTACCAGGAAACTCTGGAATATTGGCTATGAGAAAGCTAACTGCATGCATGAGGTCACAGTGATTGAGGAATGAGAACCTAAAATCAAGACATCACTAAGAGTAGCCCATGAACTAGAAATGATATAAATAAATCATCAAACCCAGCAGCCACTGGTTGTTTCCCAGGGAACCTGCACAGGAAAAGAGGCAAACACGTGGCAGACCTGCCTTAGGACACAGTCAAACAAGCTGAAGACATAACAGGCTGCCCAGAGCAGCTGGGGCTGCCCCTGGATCCTTGGAAGTGTCCAAGGCCAGGTTGGATCAAAGGAGCAACCTGGGATAGTGGAAGGTGTCCCTGCCCATGGAACAAGATGATCTTTAAGATCCTTTCCAACCCAAACCATTCTGGGATCCTATGATTTTATAACCCAAAAGCAAATCAGGAGCCTGCTCATAAGAAGGTAATATTTAAAAAAAAAAATAAAAAAACCAAAGAAAACCCCCCAAAATATCATTCATTTGGTTTATTGTGTACATCAGGTTTATAAATTATTCCCATAAGTTCAAGATCTGCTGGGAAAGTCGTCAGAGGAAGTGGTGGGTGAAGGCAAATTTGCTCACAGCTGTTCATGGGAGACACACACCCCACAACCTGCAGCAGGATCTGCAGGGGGCATTTCAGGGTCACCTCAGAGCAGGGGCTCAGTGGACGGATGGCTCCAAACACTCTCTCCAGCAAGACATTTCCTACAACAAACACAAAGCACTTGTTAAGCAGAGCTCCCTGCCCAGGGCCACATCAGCCAACACAGCAGATCTCAGAAGCTTCCAGCACCCAGGTAAGAAGTTTCTGGCACAGGAGCTGATCCAGGCACAGCAGGTCCAGGTGTGCAAGCCTGGAGACCCTCTGGAAGGGATCACAGGTCACCACAGATGCATTCCCTTTGTCTGTTCCTCTTTGCAGAGGAGTTACACACAGAGCTCTTTCTTCAAATCAGAAACCTCACACTGTTGTCTCAGGAATGGATTCGTGTTCCTACCACTGCCTAAGACAATTTTTAAGTAAAGGAAGCTCTCTGCAAGGTAATTTAATTGCCTCTACATAACTTGAGAGCTTTCCCACTTGAGAACTTTTCCCTTGGGGCTTGGAGCAACCTGGTCTAGTGGAAAGTGTCCCTGCCCATGGCAGGGGGTTGGAATTGGACGGGCTTTAATGTCCCTTCCAACCCAAACCATTCTGGGATTCTGTGACTTGTCGGTAAACCTCTGATCACCTAAGGTGCTTCCAGTGTGGCTGACATTCATGAAAAGGCTCCCTTCGCCTTTGGTAACACAAGGGTCTGTGCAATACAAAGTTTTCAAACAGGGAAGACACAGTAAATCGTTTAAACTGCAATAAATATTGCTGGGGTACGTGGCTTAAAGTACTGTCTGTGCCTTCCAGACTGGCTGTTTTCCCTGTAAAATACTATGCAGCTGGCATGCAAGTAGCTCACTGTCATTAATCAAC